CTGGGAAGAGCTGCTGTGAGGCCATGGCGGCGGCGGCGGCGGCGGCGGCTGAGACACTAGGGCTGCGGGCCTGGGAAACAGAGAGGAAGTCAGGAGGGAATCTAGGAAGGGCCGGCCCCAGGGCAGGAAACGCCCCGGGCCTCTGAGGCTGGGCCTGGGGCAGGGGCTGGAGCTGGGGCTGGGCCAGGAGGGGAGGTGGAGCCGGCGGAGGGCAGAGTCCAGGGACCTCAGAAAATCGTCTGCGGTGAACCCAGGTGCAGACTCGGGTCACGGCGGCCTTCCTTCCCCTCCCCCGCCAGGATATACTGTATAACCAGCACAGTGCCGACCACGACCCCTAGAAAGGGCCAGGAGGGCCCCTCACTGCTGCTTGCTGCGTGGGGTGGGGGATTGGCGGGGGGCCCATTGGGAGAGAGCCCAAGCAGGGGCAAAAGCCTTAGGCCCTCCCGAAGATGCACCCAGCAAGGAAGGTCCCCGGTGAAACTCATTCGTAGACCATTTCATCCTCACAACACCTTAGAACAATGGTTCTCAACCTTGGCTGCACATTAGAATCTAGCAAGGAAGGTCCCCGGTGAAACTCATTCATTCAGCATTTACACAAGCAGCCTAATAGGGAGAGTAGCTGGAACCCACGGGGTCCGGCTGTGTAGACCATTTCATCCTCACAACACCTTAGAACAGCGGTTCTCAACCTTGGCTGCACATTACAATCACCTGGGAATCTTTTTAAAATCCTGATTTCTGGGCCTCATCCTCCAGAAATTCTGTTTCTTTGTTATGGGGTGGGTCGCGACCCCTTTGGCAGTTGAATGACCCTTTCACAGGGGTCTCCTAAGACCATCCTGCATATCTGATATTTACATTATGATTCATAACAGTAGCAACATTACAGTTATGAAGTAGCAACGAAAATAATTTTATGGTTGGGTCACAACATGAGGAACTGTATTTAAAGGGCCAGAAGAGGCTGAGAAACTGCTCTAGATCAGGGGTGGGGAACCTTTTTTTCTGCCAAGGCCCGTTTGGATATTTATAACATCATTCGAGGGCCATACAAAGTTATCACCTTATAGATCAGCCTCCTATAGTGGTCAAACACTTAAGTAACTCGCCCCTAACGCCTTGGCAGTGCCAGACCAAACGATTTCTCGGGCCTTATAAGGGCCCGCAGGCCGGATGTTCCCCACCCCTGCTCTAGATGATTGGTTGAGTGAGCGCCCTCAAGAGGTTTGGTATTATTCTCACTGTTCCACAGAGGGGGCCACGGAGGTCAGAGACGTTCACTAACTTGAGAAGCAGTGACCAGGCTGCACACTAGGCAGTCTGACCCCGGAACCCAGGCCTCACTGACACGCACCGAGCAGGCTCCCCGAGTCCAGCACAGTCAGATTTTGCCCCGTGAGCCTGAGCTTTCTCTCTGGGTCTTCTTGTAGCAGCAACAGCGACTTAGCACCTCCCTCCCTCTCCCCTCCACTTCCCTGTGAGCCAGCAGCGGCCCGCTGTCATAGCAGCCCACAGTCTTCCAAAGCCCAGATGCTCCCACAGCGCCGCGCCGCCCCTGTGCGCGCAGCCCCGAGCTCACCAGAGGCCTTTGTGCAGGTCAGAGAAAGGCGCCCCTTTCGCAAGGCCTCCAGGTCAAGCCCCTCTAGCCGTGCACTCCCTGTGCAGCGCACAACCTTTACACCCACACCAGGCAGTCCTGCCACCACAGGGAAGAGGATGGGTAGAGAAAAAGAGTTCGCAGGAGGGCCCTTTGGGCCAGGCTACAGGCTAAGCCAGGGGTGGGCAAACTTTTTGACTCGAGGGCCACAATGGGTTCTTAAACTGGACCGGAGGGCCGGAACAAAAGCATGGATGGAGTGTTTGTGTGAACTAATATAAATTCAAAGTAAACATCATTACATAAAAGGGTACGGTCTTTTTTTTTTTTTTTTAGTTTTATTCATTTCAAACAGGCCAGATCCGGCCCACGGGCCGTAGTTTGCCCACGGCTGGTCTAAGCACTGCAGCAGGTCAGGGGCAGCCTCAGGAGGTGAAGCCAGATTTCAACTCCTGCGGCCGGACTTCTTCCCCAGCCGGAGGCCAATGATGCCCAGGCCTAATGAGCGTACAGCGCGCTACCTTATGCCCAGCTCCGCCCAGTCTCGCTGCAGGCTGACTTTTAGGCACCACTTTGCCCACAGGCCCTGAGCTGGATACAAAGAAACTCTTGACTTTGCCAGAGCCTGGAGGTGTAGGCAGGCCACAGGCCTGCTTGAGATACAGTAAAATTAAGGAAAGGCTGAATGAAGTTCAGTGGGAGCACAGAGGGGCCCCTGGCTCCGCCTGCAGTTGGAGTAGAAGGGGTGGGAAGGCTTCCTGGAGGAGGGGGAAATCCAAACGAATTTGACCTTCTCAGGGGGCTTTGGTTAAGGGGTCATCCCAGCATCGGTGGCTTACACAGCTAGATGATGTTGAGGTTTGCTTTGGGCCCCTTCCTCTTGAACCACAACAGCCCCTGCCCCCCACCATTCTTGGGGGTCTTTGCCTCAAGGACACATTTAGAAAGAAAAGAACCATGGGTTGGGAGTCAGATTCACCCACTCTTACCTGAAAGCCAGTGCAAAGTTCACTCTGCAGCTTAACAGGTTATGTGAAGGTGGGCTTGTTAGGCTCCCTGGCCTGTTGCCATGTCCTATTAAGGGCTTTCCAAACCTCACTTCTTTTAGCAAAGATTAAATAATGAACGTAGAAGGCCGTGACGATGCCCTGTATATGGCTGGCATTAATAATTATTCAAAACGGCTTAATAAAAATACCATTTCTTTTTTCAAAGTTACTCTCATAGGTGGCCTTTTAAAAAATATATAGTTTTATTAATTTCAGAGAGGAAGGGAGAGGAGAGATGGAAACATCAATGATGACAGAGAATCACTGATTAACTGCCTTCTGCATGCCCCCGACTGGGGATTGAGCCCAAAACCTGAAAATGTGCCCTGACTGGGAATCAAACCCTGATATCCTGCTCAACCACCGAGCCATGCTGGCTGGGCTCATAGGAGGCCTTTGAACAGACAGCCACAAATCTAGAATCAGAATTTCAGGATTGGGTGGGACTTCAGGCCCGCCCCACCCTGCTTGCTGGATTGGCAGTTCTTAAAAACAAACTGGGAGGTAGAGGGTCTGGGAGAGCAGGCTGCCTGTGTCACTGAAGGGCGGGATCAGGTTCCCGCGTGCTTGGCAGGCCTGGACCAGTGTGGTTGGGGCTGCTCTGGGCATGAAGGGCTCCAGGACGTACAGGTCAGCCCCAGGCCCATCGCAGGAGCAGAAACAACCGCACTAGGGGGAGTGTGAGCCCCAGGCTGCCATTGGGTGGGCCCTGGAAGAGCAGGGCTCCCATCAGACTGGCATTCAAGGACTTCTCCAGGCTTGTCCTTCCTGGAACCCCAACTCAAAGCACAAAGTTCAGAGGATTCACTGGGCAAATGCTCATGAAAGTGCGGCTTTTTGCAACTTCCTGAGAGAGTATAATTATTTCAGAATAAAACAAACTTTTTAAAGGGGATGAGAAAAGCATTCCAGGTATATGTAACTGCATATGCAAAAGCTAAGTAGGGCAGCGAGGCCCCACCAGTGTTAGGTTTTCAGAAATTATGCCAACTGGTTGTTAAAAATTAAAGTATATAAGCTTACAATTAAATGGAAAAACAAAGGCAATTACTGGTATATTTGAAAGTATAAGGCAGGGGTCCTCAAACTTTTTAAACAGGGGGCCAGTTCACTGTCCCTCAGACCGTTGGAGGGCCAGACTATAGTTTAAAAAAAACTATGAACAAATTCCTATGCACACTGCACATATCTTATTTTGAAGTAAAAAAAACAAAACGGGAACAAATACAATATTTGTATTTGCATGTGGCCCGCGGGCCGTAGTTTGAGGACCCCTGGTATAAGGCCTGGAGATTGGCCAGGTAAGCAAAGGCAGCCGGTGCCACGTGGGCTCTGGGTCTAACACAGCCTGGCCTCAACGCAGTGCCCCGGGGCAGCCAGCCCAGCTTCTCTCTGGGCTCTTTAAATAAGTTCTGGCCTTCGCAGCAGGGCTGTTGTGGGAACTAAGTAAAAGTTACTTTCATTTCACGCCTGCAAGTTCCTTGCTAGTTTCTCCTCCTGCCACCTCCGGGTCGGTTGGCCTCTCCCTAGCTTATCTGTCAGGCTTTATTAGTCCCTCCTCCCTCCCTCTGGTCGCTTCTGGTGGCACCAGGTGTCCCCCTCCCCCACCCAGGGCCACTCACTTCGTCCCCACCCTGCAGGGCGCCCCAAACTGCTGCAGACAGCCAATCATTATTAGGGCAAACCCACGAGCGCGCCTTCCCTCCCAGACTGCAGCCCCTCCTCTGCTCAGGCCCCGCAGGGACCCCCGCCCGGTGCACCCCAAAGATCGGCCTCCCCCTAGAAATCAGACGCGACATCGCAGAAGTTACCCGGGTTTCGGGCTCTTGGACTCCCCGCTCGGCCATAGCCCCCGCCGCAGGGTGCCCCCTCCCCGCGCCCGCAGCTGTCCCCTCCTCCCGACACCAACCTGCGGCCAGCCAGAGGG